ATTTTAAACCGTTTGATTTTTGTATTAAAGTTTTTTTAATTGATTGATGATTGATTCAATCAACTAATTTGTTGATTGTATTAACTTGATTCTTTAGATATTGAAAATTAAATAAATAACATTATGTTAATTTAAGCGTACAGAAACGTTGCTGTTGTTCCAGCAAAGATCTTATTTTAACTTTACCAAGTGCCTAGTAGGTAATTCGCAGATTACCTAGATAATTTGCAGATTACCTAGGTAATTTGAGAAATGGAATAATTTTAACAGCTTTAACGGATCACCCTAGTTAATCTGCAGATTAGCTAGGTAATGTACACATTAACGGATTTCGAGCTTTAGCGGTAACATCTGCATTGGTTTGATGTCGAATTCTTTGATGGATTTCATTGTCATTTTCCTCTGGATCCTGCAGGCAGAAGCTATCGATTTTTCTGTTTGCAGCTAGGAAAAAATCTTCCCCTGCTGTGTTAGAATAGAGAATTTGACTTTTCCTTAGCTTCCTGGTACAGAGCCTTGTTATAAATCCCCATGGGCTTTTTGTGGCATTGGCACAGTAATTTTCCCAGGACTTCTGTTTGGCTTTTTTGATTTCACTTATATGTATGTTCAAATGGTGGTAATATTGCTGTTTGTTGTGATTTTGTTGGGGTTGCGTGTGGCAGTTCTGGTATTTCTTCCTTAAGTGAATATTGTCCCTCCTAAGATTTGTCAGATCAGGAGTCCACCATGGGACGGATTTACGTTTTTTAACATACTGGGGAATGTACATTTTGCAGGCTATATCAATGATGTCGATATTATGTTCAATGCTGCGGCGGGCTTCATCACTATCATCATGGTTGCAGTCAACTAGGTTGGTGGAAAGAAATGCCTGTAGTTCATTCCAATTGGTGCGTTTCAGGTTGTATTTCGGTCATGGTTGGGAGAGATTGTTGGGGGAGGCAACATCAATCTTGAAAGAAATAAATGCATGATCATCAATATTGTCTTCCAGGATTTTCCAATCATTAATGTGTGGGTAACATTCCAAAGAACAGGCCATCACATCAATCCAGCTGTTACCCTGGCTTGATGTGAAGGTAGGCGGGGATGAAGGGTTGTTAACAACGAGCAGGTTGTTGTGGGCATAGAACTCTTCAAGAAGGCGTCCACGATTGTCAAGACACTCTCCCCCCCCAGGTAGGGGAGTGGGCGTTAGTAGAATAAAATAGACATCAATAAAGTGGTCCATAATGTTTTGTATATTGTTGAGCATAAGCTCGATGTTTAGGTTCTTTGGGCAGTAGTAGTTTATCAAAATGTGTCTTTTGCTGTTGATAACTATCTCAGTACAACAGATATACTGTGTGCTCAGTGCCTTGTGGTGGAGAAGAGATAGTCTGTTATTGATGACAATGGACACGGCCCAAGGGTAATCGGTAGTGCCGCTGAGTGGAGTGCAGGTGGATGGGATGCAGGCCGGTTTGTTATTTATACAGTAAGGCTCCTGACAGAAAATAAAATCGTATTTTGGCATGAGAGAGCTGAGGATGGAAGTAGCTGCAATGCTCCTTCCAGCATTATACTGCAGAAAACTGATATAGTTATTAGCATATTGTTCCATAGTCGGTTTGTTTTAGCAAGTTGGATTTGATACGCTGGTAGATGTGGCAGAAGCTATCCCATGCATTATGGTCGGCGTTACTAACTTTTTCATGTTTACAGTTGATGCAAATTGGTTGTTTGTCTCTATGGTTGCAATCTTTAAATACATGTTCACCTGTGCAGTGGCTACATGTTGCAGTGGTCTGGCTACAATTTTTAGTAGTGTGACCGAATCTGCAACAGTGATAGCACTGCAGGACGGGGCAGAAATCCGCCACGCGACACCTGGACCACTCCAGGTTTACCTTGCCCAGAATTAACAACTGCTTTTGCAGCTGGGGTGTGACCTCAGTCACCCAATTTGTGAATGGTTTAGTTTTCTTTCCCATTGCAAATTTAGTATTTAATGCCCCTTTGAAGTCTTCCTCAGTGAAATTTTCAGATATTGTGTCGTTCTGTTTGTATAAGAGTTGTGGCAATTCTTCATGTGCGATCAGTGAAGGCACGGAGTATATTATGAGATTTGGTAGACGTTTCTTAGGTTTTTTAACAGCAATCTCCGGGATTTTATCCTCAATATAGTTTTGAAGTTTTTGGGCATCAGCTGCCTTCTTAAGCTCGAGAGCCAAG